ACTGCTGCCGCGGATCAGGCGGCAGCAGTGGGGAGCGGCAGGGGGCTCCCCAGGAGTGGGGCTGGAGCGCGCTGGCTGCCCGCCCACCCTGGGGACTATTGAATAGTTGTGTAACCACTAAGTTTTCATGCGGTTACACAACTATTCAATGACATCTAACATCCCTAATTTGATTACAGTCAGTATCTGCCTACATGGGGAATATTTACTAATGGGCACTTCAGTGTAGCTGCGAATCATTCACTTTCAGCCTCTGGATCCTGTTAAGTTAGATACGTGTAGGCTGGAAATCAGACGTATCTTGTCACTTGGGGAGTAATTCGCCTTTGGAAGAGCTTGCCAAGGGTCATAGTGGATCCTCCCTGACTGACAATTTTTCAGTTGCAGGTGGGGGTGTTTTTCGGAGCGCTCTGCTCTAGGGATTGTTTAGGAGAAGTTCTGTAGCCTGCGCTATACGGGATGTCAGACTAGATCAAGGGGTTTCAAACTCTTTTTTCCTCAGGACCCAGTTGAAGAAAATTGTTGCTGCTCGTGACCCGGAATAGTTGTAACTTTTGACTAGAATGCAGGCTCCAGGGTGGGGCCGTGTGGATGAGGGGTTGAGCGTGAGACCAGAGATGAGGGGTTTAGTGCAGGCCGAAGGGGGTGGGGCAGAAAGGTGGGGACTCTGGGCTGAGGTGCAGGGGTGCAGGCTGTGGAATGGGGCTGGGGATGAGGTATTTGGGGTGCAGGAGGGGTTTCTGGGTTTGGAGGGGCTCAGGGCTGAGATGGGATTGTTGGGGTACAGGCTTACCTCCCACAGCTCCCCGTCAGCGATGCAGTGGGATGGTACAGCAGGCTTCTGCCTGTCCTGGCACGGGGGACCACACTGCATCCTGGAGGTGACCAGCAGCAGGTCCGGCTCCACAGGCTGCCCCCGCCCCAAGCTCTGGCTGCACACACCCATTAGCCGGTTCGTGGTTTATCTCCAGGTTTTGCCGAGTGGATGGGGGGGGCTGGTTTTGCTTTTTTATCCCGTGAGAGTTGGCTACTCACCTCAACCTGCAGACCTGCTGCTGACAGCTTCCAGGGCACGGTGCAATCTCTAGCAGGCCCTCTGGTCACCTGGTCACCCTTCAGCAAGATGGCCCAGTGCCTGACTTTCCATGACCCTTTACTGGGTCGCGACCTGAACCTTGAAGATGACTGGACGAGATGATACCAATGGTCCTGTCTGGCCAAGAGATCTATGAATCACACAGGGAGTCTGTGGAGCAGTCGGGAATTGAATTCCGATCTATTGAATCCCCGGCCAGAGTCTTAATCCCAAGGCCACATTGCACCTCTAATTCATTTTATTAGCATCTTTTTGGTCAGTTTCCTAAAATGAGACTAGAAGGCCACATCTACAAGATGGATAAAAAGTGTCTCAATTTTCTATCTTGCATTTCAGAATGGAGACTCTGGTGGAACTGAATCTCCAAGCTACAAGGTATGTCTGTCTGCAGGTATCAAATAATGCAAGCATGACTTGTGATGGTGATGTTTCACTCCAGCTGATACACGCCTCTCCAATCAGAGGGCCTCCAAGTGGGCCACAACGAACCCCCGTTTCTCCTGACGGTTGCTTAGAATAGTGTGTCTCTCTTGAGATGTCATAGTGCTCGTACAACTACTTTCCATGCAAAGCAACTAAGCCGTGTCAGTCTGTATCTCAACAAGGAGTTCTGTGGCACCTTGGGGTGAATCTACACAGCAAAGTTATTCCAAAATAACTTTGCGAGCGGCTACGCAGCAATTCTGTTATTTTGAAATGGGCAGCTGATTCCGACTTTGTAAACCTCATTCTGCGAGGAATAACGCCTCCTCCGAAATAGCTATTTCGAAATAAGGCGGGTGTAGACCCTAACCTGCACCCGGGCCATTTTAAGTTATTCCTCCTGGGACTCTAAATCGAGATAGCACTTCTACATTAAGGAAACCTGCCTCGGACTAATTTTGAGGCTTCCCTGCAGTGTAGATGTGCTATTTCGAAATAAGCTATTTCAGAATTGCTATTCGAGAATAGCTTATTCCAAAATAACTGTGCAGTGTAGTCTTAGAAACTAACAGATTTATTAGCTTCAGGGGATAGCCAAGTTAGTCTGTAACAGGATAAACTTAAAAAACAACAAATAGTCCAGTAGCACTTTAAAGACTAACAAAATATGTAGATGGTATCATGAGCTTTCATGGGCACAGCCTACTTCTTCAGATGACTGGAGTGTTAGATGTCCAGAACTAAAATAAATAGGGCGAGAGGGGAGAAGGAAAAAAATGGGAGGGGGGGAAAACAAGAAGAGGCAGTGGATATAAAAATATCATGGGGAAAGCCGAGCTGGAATGTAACAGGAAAAATAAATAGTCTAAGAAGCTCCTTGTTTAAGCCTTTGACGTGTCAGAAGGTGCCAGTGGGGACTTTGAGGTGGAATCCAAAGTGGTCACCATAATTGTATGAGCTTCTAAACATCTTCAAATACCTTGCTCCTTTGTAGAAATACAGGTTAAGGTGAACTATTGAGAGACAATTAATTGTATGGGTTTGGAGAAGGATTTTAAAAGCAGGAAATCAGCTGTTTCCTCTTTGCCTTCTAGTATTCAGAAGAAGCCAGCGACCATGTTGGAGAATGTGAGGAGGCTAAGCGACTTGGCGCCGTTAATGAATCTTTGAGGTATCATTTCATTCACTAAACCATTAAGTGTGTGTGTCATAAAGAAAGATCAACATTGAAACTGCCTCTATTCTTTGTAGCGATGAAACCCAGCGAGCCATGGTTCAGTGGACCCGGCATGAAGATTCTTCAGACAACTTTTGTGAAGCTGACGGTACGAGGCTTTGTCTAGCGTGAATGACTTTGAGATAATATTGAAACAAAGGCTGATATCTTTTTGTAAAAGTGCAAGCTGTGGTATAATATACTGGCAAGTCTACACACAAACACGTCAGTCTGTATTTGTATGCTTTTGAAGAGACGCAAGAAGAACTATCCCTTATAAAATTTGCTGCAGTGGTAAACGTGACTGTCCGTATTTCTTAACTAATTAATGGTTAAGACAAAGGCCATGTTTACACTATGGGTACTTCAGCAGCACAGATACTGTTGTGTAGATGTTTCCCATAGCTATGGAAGGGCTTTTTGTGTTGCTGTAGGAACTCAACCTCCACACGTCACAGTAACTAGATTGATGGAAGCATTTACACTGTTACAGTGGGGGATAGATCTTCTTAGGCTAGGTCTACTCTATACCCAGAAGGTCAGCTTGAGGTACTGTAAAAAGGTTGACACTCACCTCCCACGAGTGCTCCCGTTTGGCTGAGTGCAATTTCTGCACTGGCTCTGTCCTTTTAAAAGCCTTGCAGCTACTTAGCCATTCGGCTGAGTCACACAGCCTTGTGTGAATTCACAAACTGCTTCCGGGGTACACTTCCAACAGGGGCCCGCCCCGGTACCCTCTGCAGAGTGTCTTGGAGTCCTGTCCAGTCTCAGTCTGTTTCTCCACTCAGTAGGCAAGTGGTGCCTTCAGGGCTTCTCCTCTTGGAGACAGCTCCTTTGACCTTCTCCCTTTCAGGTCCAGGCTGCAACTGAGCTGCCTCTATTCCTGCAGCTTCTCTTATATACTCTCCCCCCGACCCCTGATTGGCCAGATACTCCAGGGTCTCTCTAGCCTCCTGGAGGACTTCTCTATGGTCCTCTTGGTCTCAGAGCCTAGCCACATTACAGGTATGCAACTCCAGCTACATAAATAACATAGTTAGAGTTGACGTACCTTAAGTTGAGTTTGGCACCAGCTCCACAGTGGAAGGTCAATGGGAGAAACACACCCGTTGACTTCCCTTATTCCTTGCAACAACAAAAAGTACCGGCACCTATGGGGGCACCCTCAGTGTTTGATTTAGTGGGTCTTTACTAGACCCGCAAAATCAAACGCTGGAAGATCAATCACCAGAGTGTTGATGCTCTGGAAAGTGGAGATGTGGGGTTAGCTACAGTGCACAAAGGTGTGATTTTTTTTTTTTTAAATCCCCTGAATCCTATGGCTGTGTCAGTCTAACTGAAGCGTAGACCCAGCTGAAGTGAAATATGCTGCACTTTATAGCCTTGTTTGCTGCTGGAAAAGTTCCAGCTGGCAATCTTGAGTGCAGGAAAATTGTCCCACTGTAAGAGGGTGTGCCATGTGTGGGTGCCGTGTAATGACAGCATCTTTCTATAAAAATGTCAGCTGATCTTTGCAGTTTTATTACAGTGGAAAATAAATATCTTTGGACACAAATATCTTCTTGAGATGAGAAGATAGCTTCAGCTATGTGACAGTTGTTACCTGGGCAGGCTAGATTACAGCTACCATGGGTGTATTACCTATGTCAGTTGCAGTTTCACTTGCTATGTAGCGAGAGCCTGTGTATTGGCTGATTTTTCGCACTTGCTTTCTGGTCACCCTGGGGGCTATTCCAGGAGGAGGAATTACTCAAAGTGGCAGAAAAAGCAACTTTTCTTCACTTCCTTCTGTCCTCACCTAAGATTTTCCCTCCACAGATGAGCAGTCGCCTGATGCGGAGTATGTGGATTTACTCCTTAACCCGGAACGCTACACGGGTTACAAAGGCCCAGAGGCTTGGAAGATCTGGAACAGCATTTACGAGGAAAATTGTTTCAAGTATGTGGGTTGAGAGAGACTCTCTGTGAGCTTTGGCCGCGGCTCATTGTGCACAAATAGATGTGAGCAGACGTAAACGCCCCTCACAAATTCTAAGACAGTTGTTTGAATCGGGGGTGTTCTGTGACGGGTGCTGGAAAATGAAAAGGTCAGTAGATGGTGGTCTGTTACTGGCATTCTTGACTTCGGGATTTGTGTGTAATATTTTTAGCTGTTTTTTTCTTGCTCATGCCCATCAGTATTGCTGCTGAGTTTCTTTATTTTTTAAGGCATCAATAGGATCTGAATATTGCTCCTTGGTCCCAGGCTGGCTTAGAACCTTGCTTAGTCAGTGTCTTCTTTGCAGAAGAGGGGTTCCTTTCCATTGCTCTCCACGGATCCTTCTTGTTGACTCACTGGGTGGTACTGCTAGGTCTTGAAGGAGCCATGCCCAAGTAGCGTCTACTGGAAGGTGGATTGCTACAGAGTGGGGAATATCTAGGGATCAGCGAAACTCAGAGGATCTGGGGCAGTCTGTTCAGTTGGCATTACATCAGTGTTAACTACAGCGGTGATTCATCTCTAGTCATTAAATCAGCCGTCGTTGGACTTGTCTAGTGGGGAGGTGATGGCTTTGTTGAAGATTTGGCACCCCTCCCTGCTAGTGAAAGTCTGCGAGAACTCCGGTAGGGCATGTGTGAGTCCTCCAGCCAACACC